CCATCTAGTGCGTTTGGGTTATCCACATATTGGGTTGTCTATGACCCTTTGATCTCTTTTGGTTTCGGGGCATCAATCATGGGTTTGGGTGCCATAGAATCTCCTAGCACTCCACTCTTCATGGTAGCCTTGTAAATGAGTAACTCACTCTGAAGGTCTTTCATCCTTTTCATCATTTTGACCTTCATGACCGCTAATTATGCACCCATGAGATCCTCCATCTCTTTTTTTAAAGTTACCATTGCATCTTAAATGGCATTCTACCATTGGTATATCTTCTTAGACACTTCATCAAGAAATCCTTGCATCTTATCATTGAGAACATCCTTCAAGGATTCTAGCTTGACCAAGCGGGGTTCTATTTCCTCCAAGGTTCCCTTGACTTCCTTAATAGATTCTTCAAGTTTGATAACATTTTTTCCAAGGGTTCAATAACATCCTTGGATGGTGATGGCTTCTTTGCAGTATTACAATTATCGGCTGCTTTGATTGCTAAGACTTCGCCTTCTTGTTATAAAGCTATCTCTCTCTCTTGAAATCAGCTCTGATACCATTTATCATGTTCCTAGAATCTTGAACTTGAAACCATGCAACATTAGATGTTTTTCAGAAAGAAACACGTAAGTTAGCCTAAATAATCTAAGTAAAAAGACTTAGACAAAAGAGCAAAAACAAACATAACTTCGAAAGGGAAAATGCCTCACAAACAAGAACAAGAGCAACTAAAAGAATACTTAGTTTCATTCCTCAAAAATAAAGTGAAAAATGAGGTGGGAGTAAGCCTCTATTTATAATTGAAGCTCTTTACATCCAACATTTGAAATTGAATGCAATCAATGGCTAGGATTAAAATGAAATCCTATATAAATCATTACATGATATTAGTTTTGAATTTAAACTAATGATAAATAAATAAAAATAAATAAATAAATAAAAGAAAAGACTTATTTAAGCTAAAGTGGCCCGAGATGGTCTTCAGGTTCCTACGATGGCCCAGGGTGGCCTAGAAGGCATTCTAGGTGGGCTATGAGGGTCTAGAGGCATCTTGGTTAATCAACTTGCATTGGTCTCAGTCGCGAATTGACGGTTCATGATAATATGTAGCAATCACCATGCTTTGAGCGAGTCTTTTTTTATGGGTAATGTTGGTGTGCAAATTTTAAAAGGTTCTATATGGGTTGTGTCAAGCTCATCGAAATTGGTATACAAAGTTGATATAATATCTTACAGAGATGGGGTTCAAAGGATCTGATACATATGCATCTTTGTTCTTTTGAAACATCAAAAGGGTCGACACATACTTGTTAGTGTATGTAGATGACATTATTATAACAGGACAATCAAAAAGAGAAGTAAATGGTGTAATAGCTTGTTTATGTTTGAATTTTTCTTGCAAGATCTTAGTTTTTCCTTATATTGAAATTCAGAAGCGTGGAGGCTTAGTGTTACTAAGCCAATAAAAGGTATGTTTTGAAGTTGTTGGAAAATACTAAAATACGATGGGTGAAATTGACTTTCACACCTATGTTAACATCAACAAAGTTGACATAAAATGAAGGAAACCTTCTTGAAAATGCACAAGAATTGTAACACCCTAAATTTCAGGCTAATAATTTCGGGTTTACGTAAGAGGTATATAGGCCTCGTAGAATTCGTAATTAAAGTTATTAGACCAAGTTGGGCTTAATCGGGTTAGATTAGTCCTAATTAATTATAAAAAGGGTTTTTTGGCATAGTAGAAGATGATGAGAGACCAAGTGTATAATTTTACCCATTTGAAAAAGATGAGAAGCCTTATCTCCTTCACCTCATTCTCTTCATTTCTTCACTCTCATTTTCTTCTCTCTCATTTTCCTCTTAAAGTGTTATACCTAAGGGTAAGTTCTTTGAGCCTTTTTTATGCTTCTTTTAAGCTTCAATTCGTCCTCAATCCCTCCAGTAAAGTTGTTTTGTTTTTTCAAAGCCATGGGTTCTTCATAGCCAAAGAGAAAGTGAGAGTTTTCTTCCAAATCTTAGAGGGAGGGAGCGTGGCTAAGCAAGGAGCTTCATTTCAGGATCCTAGCACCAAGGTAGTGTATTTCTAATCCTTTGTGGTGTTAAGGCTTTCAAAAGCATGAAGATTTGTTATGATTTGAGTATTTGATCATTTTAGGGTTTATGCTTGATTTAATGTATATGAATTTTTTTTATGTAAAACATGTGTTTGTATAACACTTTATGACCCTAAGTAACTTTTTAAAGCTTTAACATATGGTTAGAAACCAAACTAAGACCATTATGGTGCTTTTTTGGGTGTTTCTCGAGCCTAAATACGACATTTCTATATTCGAGTATCGATATTGGATAAACAATATCGATATTGGATGAACTGAATGAATTTTAGGCAACTTTAATTGGGAGTATTGATACTGCTAGGAAGACTAATGATAATGATCAATACTTAGGGTACCTGGTATCTATACTGGGCTAATTTTCAGTAAACAAAAGCTATTTTTGGTACCGATACTCATGGGGGTATCGATACTTGACCCTAGGGTATCGATACTAAAAGTAAAGTATCGATAATACCCACTTTGTGTGGCTAGATTTGACCTCGTTTATGCCCACAAGAGTTAAGGATGATCCGTAATGGTAGAACTTAATCTGTAAGGGACATAAAACACTAATATAGCCTAAAAACACTGGTATGAGTAGGTTACAACTGAGGTAACTATAATAAGTGTGATACGTCCAAGTATTTTCAGTCGAGCATGTATCGAATAATTAAGAACGGGGATTGTTGTAGAGGATGTACCAATAAGTAATATCAGATTAAGTAATAGTTGAAATTGTGCACTTCAGGAACGTTAGTGAACCGAGAACGTATGATTCGTCCCTCCAATTCAAGGGGTATTGAGGATAAGTACGATAAGAGCAACCAAAGTGTCATTACCCAATAATGAACCCAAGTCAGATATCGGGCTAGTTAGTATTTCAGCTAGCGAACAACAAATACAATAATTGTCGTAAAATCATGAAACACGTAAAGACCTCTTTAGAGACCAAAGTGACTAAAATGTTCATAAGTAACGAATGACCAAAACAGAGCAGATCAATAAACTAATAGAAGTAACAGACTAATAAACTCTTGCAAAACATTCTAGGTAAGAGTACGAGCAAGATAACAACTAGTGAAATGATGAGCTCACTTTAGTGTGCTCAACTATGCTAAGGTGTAGCCAGACTAGCCCTAGTGGGGCATTGTCAACGTTATGTGGCCTTAGGGCCTTCAGTCATACATGTAGAGTTGCATCAGTCCAGTACAATAGTTATCAGAAAAGCTTGGCTTGATGTTATTTGATACCAAGTCAATGTTTCAGTTGAGCGGGAATTATTGATGCTCTGTGATATCGGAATTCCTCCTCTATGGTCTACCTGACGCTATGTGATACTAGGAGATCATTCAACAACTTAAAAGAGACCTTGATGATGCTATGTAATACTGGTACCCCCTCCTAGCAGGCTAGTATTTGATGCTATGTGAGACCAGATACTAACAAAACAATGTCAGTGTCACATTCAGATAATGCACATCAGTGTGTCATGTGTCGCATTTAGAGAATACACAGTAGTTATAGTCAGTGTGGGTAGAGACTCAATAGAGGTGTACTCATGGTGAGACCCTTAATAGAGGATTAAGAGAAGCATGAGACCGTTACTTTAGCGATAGAACAGTTAAACCTTAAGTAGGTAGCACTTGATTAAGATCATGCATGTACCTACTACTTAGTACTATTTTTTTAGCATACTTATGTTTATAAAACTCATAATGTTTCTCTAGATTAGTGATTATACTGCTAGGATTTGTAAGCTTATCACTCAAATGCTTTCAATTCGCAAGTCATTAGTTTGAGTCGTTCATGTAGCACCGTCGTAGTAGGACTTCCAACACCTCTTCCAGAGTAGTGTACTGTAGTTTTAGTGGGCATATATATATTCATAGGACCCTTATTATTATATTCATAATTATAGCTCTAAGTTTGTACTATTTTGGTTTTAAATTATGTGCTACGGAGCTCTAGTTTATAAAATGTTTTTATAACTGTCATGAATGTCTATTTTGATACCATATTGTATGTTTTGAAAAGAAAATGAACAGGTTTTTCAAAAATCAGAGGTTGCCTCGACGGCCTAATATGACACTTTAGGCCATTCGAATTTAGGGTGTTACAAGAATACATAAGCATAATAGGAGCACTTCTATATATTTGTCATACCAGACCAAACATAACTTTCAATGTGAATAAAGTGTCTTAATTTATGTATACACTGTGTGATGTTACCTTTCAACAATCAAACAAATCTTACGTTATTTCAGGTTGTTATTCACTTCCTCAGATCATAAACTAAGTATTGTAGCATATGCTGATGTTGATTGGGGCAACAATTTAGATGACAGAAGGTCCACAATATGTTATTGTGTATATATTGAAAATTGTCTAGAGCTTGGAGTTCAAAAAACAAAAATATATCTCCTGGTCAACTACGAAAGCCAAGTATAGACGTATAACTGACGTCGTATCTGAAGTAACCTGGGTTGAGACAATTTTGAAAGATAAGGGTTGTCAACCGACTTAAGCTCCCGTTATATGGAGTGACAACACTAGTACAATTGTTATGTCAGTTAATTCTGTGTATCACTCACATTCTAAGCATGTACATGTAGAGTTGGATGTTCACTTTGTACACTAAAAGGTGATTAAGGCGAAGCCTTTCGGTTTGTTTGAACAAAAGTTAGGTGTTGTTACATATGAACAGATTCAAGTTCAAAGTTTGGCATGAAGAGAGCTACAAAGACCAGCAAATTTCATGACTGCGTAGGTTTCATCTTTGAAATTTATCGGGTTCCAATAGCATAAAGTTTTATTTTCTCGCAGGCAATGCGTCAATGGCAAATAAAGAGTGTAAAGCAAAACTCATACACGTTACCAAAAAGGGACACAATATAAATAAAGAAAATTTCATGCACTTTGTGCTTCTAGGAGAACATTAAAATCGGCCCTAGCCTTACGCAAACGAGGCGTTATGCAAGAAGCTGGCGAGGCAGGGTACGATGTGGGAGACGATGTAGAGAACCTGACATGCCTCGATGATGATGATTCGTGGAATTTCCTGCCTTTTGATCTTGTTTGAGTCGAACCATTTTTCAAAACTCCTTTTACATCCTTATTATCGAACACGAAAGCAGTCGAAACCGGTAAATCCGAATCGTTCCCAAGGTTTTTAATCAACTCCAACGGAAGATCGAAGTAGAGATTCATGGAGTCACCATCATCAACATCAGGGTCTGGTATTATTGTTGATGAAGCCCAGGATCCGCATTCAAATTTCTCCAGGGAAACTGTTTTTGATATCGCATTATTATTATTCTCCATCATCATTGCATCTTTTGTAGGCCTTACTTGCTTCGCCTTGTTAAACCCTGGTACAAACAAGCAAAGGGCACTGCATTTGAACTCAACTTCATTACCATCCATCTCCTCACGATGACCGCCATTGTTAATTACATCGGGATTGGAGATTAAACTTCCATGTCGATACTTCCTGTACAGCCAAAGATCATCAACTTCATCTGATGCTGCACATGTTCTTCCATCCCCACAAGACTTGCTTTTCAAAAACTGGCTGTTCTTCTGAGGCGATGCTTGGCTTTCGGTTTTCGAGTTCTTCCTTGACGAAATGGAGCTGAATCTAGGGGAGGAAGTTGCAGAGTTGGGAAGGCTATAGCTTAAGAACTTGTGCTTTGCGGGGAACAACGGAGGTGGCAACATCATGTTGAAGCTTATTTCTCCCATGGATGAATCTCGTAATGAAATTGGATCAACATATATCTGTTTCTCCTTTTTCAGGCTATCCTTTTTGACCAGGATATTAGGCACTTGTGAAGTCAAGCTCTTGTAGATCCTTGTAAATCTCATTGAGTTCTCGAGCAATTTCGTTTGTGGTGGGAACTATTTTCGAGGTAGGAAGTGCCATTGAATTGAAAAGAGACCAACTGTGAGGATTGGAAAGAAACAAGGAAGATGAGAGTGCCATAGAGTTGGACGTGGATCGCATATATGGAAGCCAAGGAGAGCAGCTCAATAAGTGGTTTGCATGTCGCATAACTTAGGGAAGGAAAATATAGGGTCATGCTCAATACAAAATCCATTCATCTTTACTATAATCAACAATTGATGGGTGCCACAACCACTAAGGATCGACTTTGTTAAATCGGAAAATGCTTGCACGTCCATAATAAGAGCTGCTTTTTTCTCTCAAATAATGTTTTTAAATCCATATCACATACGAAACCCATGGGTTTTTGTTTCCACTTCCGTTGCTTATTTTAACTTGTTTTAAATGAACTCAACTATGTTTATTAACGAAATATTTTTATTAAAAGTTAATTATACTATCAAATATACTAACATCAATTTTTTCATGAATGTTCGTATGATTTTTTAAAGTCCATCTAAATTCATGTTTGAATAAGAAAATAAATGAGATTCCAACAAATTAGGCTTAATTATTCTCGGATTTAAATTATTTTAAATACAAAATCTTTTGAATTCAAATATTGTTGGGTTCGCATCTTTTTAAAATTTATTGTTTCAAATATTTCTTTCATGCTCAAATTGGATTAAGTACGACGGGCTTCTATAAATTTAAATAGTTTTGATATTTTATAAGTTATAAATTTATTTTATTTCATACTATTATGACTTGATTTCGAGGTATGCTTAAGACATTTATATGTTTTCTGTTTATAATTTGACTTTTGTTTACACAAAATTTAGGTTCGGATGACTCTTAGTTCAAAGTCAGGGCATACTTAAGATTCAATTAGAGTTTACATAGGAATTTATATATTGCTCACCAAGAGTGAACAATTAAGATTTGAACTTGAGCTTATAAATTTAAATTTTTAAATTTCAACCACTTGTATCAATACTCATCGGCTAATATGACTTCTATTGTTATGTTCATGAACCTTATATAATTTAATAGAATAAATATATGTCACTTAGTTTTGTAAGCTCGTTTTTTGTTTACATGTTATAATTTTTGTGATTCGTGATGGGATAATAGTTAAAAACCTGGTTTTATTATCATTTTGAATTTAATAATAATAAATGGTTGTCCTTTGTTCCCATATGTAATGGGGTAAAGGGGAGGTAAGATAGTAGGTTGCCCCCAACATTAGGTTGAGAATAACTTCCGTAGGAGACCTCCAAATTATGAAATGCGCTCCATGGGACTCGATCCCACGACCTCAAGATTAAGAACCTTATGCTCTACCAACTGAGCTGGATGGTCATTTTGAATTTGTTCATTCAAAATACAATAAATATTTATTTCAGGTGAACATGCATAGTTTAAAACCTTTATGATTCTTGTTAAAAAAAAAACCTTTCTGATTCAAGTTTGTACATTATTTGAATATTAATTTATAAATTTTTTAAGGATTTCACTTAAAATTTATTTAGAAATTAATGATAAAACTATTGATAGTTTATTTTACAAATACAGACTATTATCAAATGATATTTTAATTTTCAAGGTAAATTATGTAAATAATTTTTTTTGGTATGATCAGACTTTGTTCACCAATTTAAAAATTAAGGGTACATGATCCTTAAAGTTATTAGTCCATTCAATTTTAGTCTCTAAAGTTATCGGTCCATTCGATTTTAGTCACTCATCCATTAACTCACGTTAACCCTCTAACGAAAATATTATATGAGAAATAAAAAATAATAAATAAATTTACATAAGTCACCAGCTACGTGGGATAAAAAATTATTAAAAATTTTCAAAAACTTACTTCTTCCTTCTTCTTCTTCTATAATACCACCTACTCATTCACCGAACCACCACCACCATCACCCTCTGCCCCCAACCCATCCACTTGTTTATCCCCCTCCACCACCCAAGACACCTGCTAAACCATCAACTTGTGCTCCTCCACCTAAAGCACCACCCAAGCCACCAACTTATCCTTTTCCATCCAAGGCAACGACCAAGGCACTAACTCACGCTTCTCCACCCAAAACGTCCAACTACCCACCACTATCACTTCCTTCGGCTAAGCCACCAATTTACCAGAGTTTACAAGGAACTTTGTGGCGGTTCATGGAGTTGTTTATTGTAAGTTATACAAATACAAAGAATCTGACACCCTGTTGAAAGCAAAAACAATTCATAGTCTGTTTCAAATACCATAGGAAAACTTGGTTTCATTCATTTTCATGATATAATCATTTTAATCAAGCATGGATGAGTCTTTCCATGTCTATATATGAAATTTGAGTAGGTTTGTGGGATTTTTCAACTTCAAAGAGCTCATATTTTTAGGTTTCCACTGCAACATCCATGGCTAACATACATTTCAGTGTTTCACAGTAAACTAAGTGACTTTGACTGCATTTTTGCAAGCGTCACAATAAAGCTAATATGCAAGAGCACTAAGTACAAGCAAGAGACCACTACAAGAATCAACAAGAACGATTATTTCTTCACCATAAATCATCACCAGCTTTAGAGCCCACAAATTCACGATGCCTCTTTTATCATCCTCGTTGGTTTCGTGCAACAAACCATTAAGAAGAATATTGCTCAGAAATCATAAACTGAATTGGGATGCCTAAGTTTAAAAGATGACCAAGAGCATTGTAAGACTTGTCAGAAGCTCCCAATTGATATTGCAGCTTGTGAAGTTGACATAAAAGCAGGAATATCTATCTCTGACCAACAGGTTCAGCGACCCATATATGCTAGTTCAGAAACTATGACCCCTATAACATAGATCAGTGAAAAAAATTCGAATGACAAAACAGGAGAGGATTGGGTCCTTGGATGATTCCTTGATGGCTGTTAAAGTAGATTTTTTGTTTTGATAAAAACAAATGAAGCTTGTGGGTGCTTTTCTTTTTGTTTCTTTTGAATTTTCAATATATTAAGCTCCATTTGTTTTTCGTTTCCAACTTATGTGGAGGGAGTGGGGTTGTAATAGAGAAGAAACAAAAGTAAATTAGGACATGATTAGTAATGATTATAAACAAGAACGTAGTAATTTTTTTTAAATTTTTAATTGTTACGTAATATTTCTGTTAAAGGATAAACTTAAATTAACGACGATTAACTAAAATCAAATAGATCGATAATTTTATATTAAAAATCAAAATTAAATAAACAAAAATAAAGAGAATTATTCGCATAGCATACCGTTATTTTTAAGCAGCACCCTCCATCCTACGACTATCAAGTTAAGTGGACCCAAAAAAACTGTTTCAGCCCTGGTTTTATTGTCACTTTTATTGTCAAATTACAGTTCGCCTTGTATGTTGCTCATAATAATGACGTAAATTTAATAAATTTATACCGTGCAACAGTTTAATTTAAAGTTAAAAATAATAAAATATAGACGCAACAAAAAATATTATAAAAACATAATATTTTAGGCTAGTACAACTTAAAATGTTAACTTTTAATATTTTTGGTTAAACCGAAAATATTATAAAAATGTGTGCAACCGAAAAATGTTAAGAAAAAGTTAACATTTTAGATTATGCTCAACCGAAAATGTTATACATTTTATAATATTTTCGGTTGAGCCCCTTTCATGCTATTCTTTAATCTTAAATTAGGTTGTCGTACCTTATACATTCTCTGATTTAGTATATCTTATATATATAAATAATCTCATGTATATATATTCTTAAAATTCCCCAGCCCTGAATGTTCCCAAGGAATATTTGTTGTAGGATAAAGGTAACCAACCAGATGTAGAATTCAAAGGAACCGATTCCCTTTCCAAACAAGCTTGCTTTATATGTTCCAACCTAAATATTTAGTATTTTAATGGAGGGAAAGAGTCACCTTGTCCAAAAGGTTGCTGCTCCAAGAGAAAATAGCTAAGAATATGGTAGCACAAGGATGAAGCAAAACTATTCCTGCCCAACTGGAATTCCCTTTGAATAAGGCAAAGCCTATGATTAATGACTTGAACTACAAGAAACTCAATCTCTAATGCCAAGAATTCTCTTCTTCCCCCATTTATACCATGATTACAACAATCTCAATCAACATTACCAAAAAGAAACAACTTGTTGAAATGGAGGGTTTTATTCCAGGCCAAGAAGGGTCAGCAGAAATTGTGTTTTTCGATATAGAAACTACGGTGCCGAACCGAGCCGGTCAAAGGTTCTGGGTGTTAGAGTTTGGTGCCATTGTAGTTTGTCCGAGGAACCTTGTTGAGCTAGAGAGTTATAGTACCCTAATCAAGCCTAAGGACTTGTCTGCCGTTGCATTGAGGTCCGGCCGATGTGATGGGATAACTAGAGATACTGTTGCGAATGCGCCCAGATTCGAGCAAGTTGCTGATAAGATATTCAACCTCTTGAATGGTAGGATTTGGGCTGGTCATAACATTCAAAGATTCGATTGTGTTCGTATTAAGGAGGCATTTGCTGACATTGGTAGGCCTCCTCCTGTACCTGTTGGCATCATTGATTCTTTAGGAGTTCTCAGTGACAAGTTTGGCAAAAGAGCTGGTAATATGAAGGTAAAGTTTCATAATAAACCTGTTAATGTTCAAAATAGTTTCTCGGTTCTAATTTCTCTTCATGCAGATGGCAAGCTTGGCCAATTACTTTGGGCTTGGGCAGCAAAAACACAGGAGCCTGGATGATGTTCGCATGAATCTAGAGGTTCTCAAGCATTGTGCAACTGTGCTCTTTTTGGTATGGTTCACAAACATCAATACTAAACTTCAACTTCATCTTGTAATCAAATTATCAAAAGAGCAAATTTGTTAAGTATTTGAGTTTTCATGATGCTAGGAATCAAGCCTCCCTAGCATATTGAATGGCAGTTGGCAGAGCTCCCCGACGATAACGACACGGAGTAGAAGCGGCGCCGGAAAATCGACATGCTGGGAAGAAACCAGAAGGAAATCATCGTCCCCACCTTCAGTTGGATATCAAAGATCAGTTCCCTACACAAGGGGAAGTTTGGGAAAGGTCTAATTCCATGCTGATTTGTGGATTATCATGCAAGGTATGGTTTCTTAATTGGTTAATAACGACTAACAAGGAAAATGAACTTAATGGAGCAGGTGACCGAAAGAATGAAGAATCTATTGTGTAAAGCTCAAGGAAGCCAGCCTGTTAACAACTTGCTCAAGCATTCTCATTCACTGCTCAGATGAATCAGAAAAGAGTAAGTTCAATGAGAATATGGCATGAAGCACAAGAGTGTCTTTCCCCTTATCAGAATTTGGGGCACCCTTTTCGTGGTTCTTATTCATTAATTATTTGTAAATTTCAATTAATCAATTGAATTTGTGAATATGATTAGCTGTGTATAGTACCTTGAACTGCTTCATGCATGGAACCTGCAATTTGTGAATATGATTATCTTTTCTCCTCGACACATCATGTTTATTATAATATTTCTGTATGTGTTAAACGTTTCGTACTTTGTATATTTTCTGGAAAAAGGGACAACTTGGACCAATGCTGCTCTCGAACAAGCAATAGCTAAGGATTTAATTATTAGAGAACATAGCCATAGCATCTCCCCATGTGAAAACGTACTCAAATTGCAATCCTGTGCGATGATCATCATTTAAAGCAAAAAGGTCCCTCTTTTTCTGTTTAATTCCCAATTTATTAAAAGCAATGGGTCCAGCAAATTATGTTAATGTGGATGTGTACCAACAACCAAATCTTCCTTACAAAATCACATGCTTCAATTTTACCTTGGTGATGGGCTGGGGAAACAGGGTCCCTCGATCTCATTTGTTGCCTTTCTGCTACCTAAATACAATGTTTTACCAGATTTTCTTATCATCATTCACCGCGTCTTATATTTTACAAGTCCACTCATTTAAATTTTTCCATGAGAATTTGTTACAGTAAATTACTATCAAATCTTGGATTATCGTAAGAGATTATCTTATTTTTATTTTTGACGTAATCTATGATATTAGATAAAATAATTTGTCAAAAAGGAAGTTGACAGTTTTTCGCTCATCAAAGAGAGACTAAAACCTCGATACTTGTTAATAGAAAGGTCAAGATTAGAATTTACCAAGTGATCTCAATAGTAAAAGAGAGTGTTAATTTTTTAGAGGTTTCGGATTCGAGTAGTTGAATTTGTAGGGGTGTGTGTTTCCAATTACTAAGAAAAATTTTAAACATATATTATTTTGTAATCACCTAAACTATTAAGATCATTTTCTTTTATTTTAGTCTAATTTTATTGGTGTTATATATAGTACCTCTTATTTTACACTCCATAAAGTCTTTTTTCCTTTATACCAATTTTATTGGGTTTAGGTCTTAGTATGGGTTTAAAAAGAAAATAGTAGTAAGTAGCTTTTATTTGCAACAAATTTCCTGCTATTTTTATTCTTTTTATGGCATTAAAAGTTTCTTTTCTTTTGTTCTTTTGCTAGGGTTTCTTATAACGTGATTAAGGGATCATGAAATGAATCGATCATGATCATGTGTACTAAGTGCAATAGAAAGAAAAAGAAAGGCTAATGTTTTGAAAGAAAAAAAATGGGTGATGAAAATAGAATTAAAGTGATAGTAAAAGGAGTAAATACATAGTTTACCCTTAATTAATTACAATCCCCAAAACTTGTAGTTTTTTTAAAAATAAAATTGCATTGAAAAAAATATAAACCACCAAAACTAGTGGTAGGATTATATTGTAATATAACTTGAAAGAATAAAACTAGTAACTTCCACACATAAGAGAAGAGGTCCTGCTTTTTCACGAATTGACAAAAAGTTGAATATGAGTGAACAGCATGCTTACTTACCTTCTATACCAAGAAAGAAAGGACTGGAACAAGCCAACCATCCAAAATGAAATATATATGTTTTATGAACATAAATACAAATAAGGATTGACTCAAAAAAGGCAGACAAAATAGTTATCCTCCTTAAAATTTTAAAAACATATTTATATCTTTATTGAAAATCTAACTTTATATGTTTGAATTTTATAAAGAAATCTGTATATGCCTTTGAACGCAAATGCACGCGCCACACATTATGCGGGACAAGAGAAAAGAAAAACATCCATGTGATTATGATGATAATTATATATGTTTGCAAAATGAAATAGACAGCTTTTCAGCCACGGGCCACCCAGAATTAGTTGGAATGGTGATGAAACAGAAAGCAAAAGGTGAATGATATAGAAGCGTCGAAGAGGTCATTTGGCTAAGACTTTGCCTCCACAATTGACTCAACAATTCGGTTGGTAATGTAGTTACACTTCATGTCATACATTCAATAATTATTTCTAGAAAATGATACTATTTAAAATTAGGATACCAAGATTTATTTATCCACTTTTGTATCTTAAAATTCAAACTAATAATCGTATTAATATATCAAATTGAATAATTTGATTCATATAATTACTATTATTATAATATTTAAAATAATATAAATTCAATCACACTTTAACGCGTATTAATATTATTTAAAGTTTAGAGTCTAGATAGTTTAAATGTGATATAAGATATTTTTATTATTGTATGTTTATATAAATTTAAATGGATTAATGCTCATATAATACAAGGGAATAGAAATCGCGACAATCAACAGCCAAGGTAAATAAATAAACAAGTAGAGGGCGAGGGGTGGGGATACCCCAAGAGATCCCAGGGGTAAAGGAGTAGGGCCGAGAGGAGAATGGGCAACTACTCGTGCTTGATTTTGGTGATTCACAATAACATATTATTAACAAAGAAATTTTGTATGAAATAATCATAAATAAAATTTCAAGACGGATGTCATCTATAAAATGAACAATTAATATAAAATAAATCAGATTTCAAGATAGGTATATGCTTCACCTAGGGGTGTAAAAGAGCTGAGTCGAGCTCAAGTATTGCTAAACTCGACTCGACTCGAAAACTTGTGAGCTTAAAATTTTTAAACTCAACTCGAACTTGAAACTATGAATTGAAACTCATAAAAACTCAAAATGGAAAAAATATCTTAAATTTAACACGATTGAAACCTCAAACTCAAACCTAAACTTTAAATACATAAAAATCTTATATTGCATTTAAAAAAAATCCAAACACATAAATATTAATATATTAATGATTTGTTTTTTAAAAAATAAAATCTTAATATATTATATTTTAGAGTTACTCGCGAGTTTTTCGAATCAATTATCAAGTAGTTAGTTTCGACTCGTTAGGAACTCGAGTCAAGTCCATTCGAGTCTAGTATTTATCAAACTTGAACCAAGTTGATCTCAAAAACCTTACGATCTGTTTCGTCTTATTTATAATCCTCGCCTCAAGGAAACCTTGCATCCATCACTCACCACACATCAATCCCGTGGTGGATGTCCTTTCATCACTCACTCCGTGGCCAACTACTCATGTCCAAACGACCAATATAATTCATGATGCAGACCATTTCAATGACGGTGCATGATTTTCCTTTTTATAATTGGGTCTTTAGTCAGTCGTGTATCTCTATCAAATTTTACATGCAAGTTTAGGGTACAACTTGTAGTATAGGGTCATTGCTATGGAGTAGAGACAAATAATAAGTAAAAGATTTCACAAGCTATTAATTTTTTAATTTTTTAATTTTATGTTGACTTGTTGAACTAAATTTACTTGCTTCTTAATTCAGTGCCTAACAAGACTGTATGTATCATTGGATATCTACTATGTGTCCAGAGAGGCAACTGGTTTGGGTAATCCTTAAAGATAGTGACCCAACAGCACAATTTGCAGTTAGTATCGTAAACTATCAACAACAACATTCTTTTCTGGATAAATATGTTGAACTCACACATTTTAAGATTTTTATAACATCATCTTTAGAGATCGTAATACTCCCAAATTACTTTGTAAAAAAATTGTGCTTCAAAGGACACAAACTACAACAATGTTATCATTCTTCAATATTACATTACAAAGCCCATATCTCAAATTTTATACAGCCTATCATAATCATCCTACAACTAGCAATAACCCTTCTTACCAAATAACAAATTATAATTAGAACCTTAAACAACACTCGTATACAAAATAATCCTGTCGTCGTGCTTCTTGCCCCATCTGCATTAATCTTTGATTCGTCCATCCTTCGATTTAGACCATGCAATTGTCCTCATAATATTCTCATGAGTACTCAAATCATGAACTCTAGACTGATTAGACATCTTAATCTTCCAAAATAATTTGTTATATCACTGTCTTATCAAATATACTAATCACTGACCAGTTCATGGTGGATATTGTTTGCACAAAAACAATTATTAAAATATTTTAAAAAATCAAATTATTAAATTTAAATTTTATCAAAAAAAAATATAAGATAATAAATAATGTTATATTAATAATATTAAATTTAAGAAATTATTTTATTCATTTTTTATCCAAAATTATCCAAACTACCTACACTTCTTCCCAATTGTCGTAACCGGTTTTCGCCCGGCACGAATTTCCTTGGTGGAAAAATATGTGAATGAAATAAATGGTTTTTTAAGGAAATGTTTTAGAGTCTCCATCGACTTTTTTGAGTTAGGTAGGTCGAATACCTCAAAATCACTTTTTAAGAGAATTTTTAAGAAAACATCAGTTAAAAGATAAACCGGTATGCGTATAATCAAAAATTCATTCTTTTTAGTAATAAAAAGGGATTTGTGGTCGGTTACGTTTGGGGAAAGATTAACACTCCCACAACGCCCAAAATTGGTACCCATTGATTATAAAATTGTCTCTAGTAGTGAAAATCTAAGAATTCGAATATAAATTTAATTTATGATCCTATTATTCCATATTACACCGCATAATTTTATTTAATAGAAAATTATAATAATTCAATATTTCATATAACTAAAACTAAAATAAATTTAGTTTTTAGGTTTTTATAAACATGATATTTATTTATTTTAAAATATCAGAATATGACATCAAGTTACTTTAAGACAACCCTTTCTTAATATTTAAAAATAAATAAATATTAATAAGAATATGATAATTTTTCCTAAAAATAATTTAAATAAAAATGAAGTAAATATATATATTTTATATAAGCAATATATTTATTTATTTTTAAAATACTAGAATAGGACATCTAGTTATTTTAAGGCAACCCTTTCTTAATATTTAAAAAATAAATAAATATTATTATTTAATTAATTTACAAAATTAATCAAATAATACTTACCAATTTTTCATATATATATATATATATATA